TGAACATTGCTCAACATCATGAAAATTAAACCTTATTTTCAATAAGCAATCCTGAAAAATATTTGGGGGTGCTTAACTTTTTTTTCAGGTGTATATATACCTTTGCTTTGGCAGAAAAATTCTAAAAAAAGGCTGTAAGTGCATTGTTTACAGTTGACATTCTTTGGAACTTTGCAGCAATGTACATTTGAAATTGTTTTTATTTTTCTTTGTAAATGACACTTAATAAATGTTACAAAATGATAAAATACCAATGCCAACAAATTTTTCAGTAAAAAGCTGTTGAAATAATTAGAATCTTTGTCTATGTAAGTTTTGAAAGTTGATATGCAGATGTGCACTTAACACTTGAAAGATGCCAACAAATATGGATAGAGTTATATACAATTATAGTAATAGAACCTGATATTCTATTAATAATACTTTTTTTTTTAATTTTATTTACACTAACAATCCTATTTTCATGTTGAGTAAGATCACTTGGTTGAACTAAAATATTACTTAATGTTGTGCAGGACTGGTATATTGTTCTAATGTTAACATCCTTATAAAAAAAATCCCATTCCATATTGGAAAAACAGTATGTATGTGTGTGTATGTATATATATATATACAGAAATAAATGTAAGCTAATATTTTTCAGGCCTTAAAGATGCCTTTCTTTAGTAACAAGCCACCCCCAACTCCAGGTCCAAATCTACCTCAGCCATCTTGTGTTGCCACTGACAAGAAAGAAGGGGAAACTAATAATGCCAGGAAAAGGAAACTTTTTGATGGTGATTTTGGTAATATTTGGTTACATTTTTTGTATTTGTTACTATAATGTATATGTAATTTTCTCCTTAATGTTAACCAGGGTTAAATGTTGTGTTAGAGAAATTTAAAGTTTTGTTAAGCTATAGCAAGTTCTAAGGTAAAAAAAAAAATCTGTTTGAAATCTGAATTTGAATGATATTTTCACTAGAGCTGGGCCATTAGTGGAATTTTTTAATCGAGTAGAACAGTCAAATCATGGCACGTACATTCCCCCTTTCTGAGCAAAAGAAAATAATAAGTGATGTTTGGTGCTGCCATGGCAAAGAAAGGGCCAGTTGAGTTTTATGGAAATCCAATCCCCTCCACCTAAGTCACCAGGACATGCTGGCCCAAACCTGAAAAAAAACTCTTATAGCACTAAAATTGGATTTTCATACCTGCAGTAGGCAAAGCATGGATAGACCATTATGCAGCTTTGTGCTGAACAACAAATATAATGGCTGTATTATGATTACTTGTATAGTTGGAATAATTGATAACAGAAATAGTCTAAAAAGCTAATTTCAGTTAATTGATTAGTTTACATGACACTAATCAATGTAATCACTGTGTATAGGTTATTGATTATATCAATTAACCCTATGTATGTGGGAAGGTTAAAGTGTGCATGTGACAATCTTTCTACAGACATACATTCAAAATTGAGTTAAACTCCTTTATTATCAATGTATGTCTATAAACTTGGCATCAAAAGATAGTTTATATTTCAATTTCAATATTATAATACTTTTAATTTTTTACTTTTAAAAGGAAATATTTAGATAAATTTTCAATCTTCACTTCTCTGTATCACATGACAATTCTTCATTCCAAATTGCACATTTTATATTTTATTTCAAAACTGTATGATCTTTTGAGCTTGGCACTAATCTTTTATATTATATAATGTTAAGCCATAATGTAAATATATAGTCTCCAAGCTTGTTGTTTTATCAATTTTTAAACAAGAAAGTCAAATGAATATGCCACAGCCATCCTGTCACATTCTGGCTTTCAAAAATTCTCCCTGACATTTACTGTTGGATTATTAAGAAGATTCTAATTTACTGAGTTTCTACAAGACTAGTTCATTCAGATGACAAGTTTGGAAAAATTTGGGCTCAGTTTTATTATTTGCTATCATTGGAGCTTGGCTGAACCAGCCAACAAATTTTTTTAACCCATTTATAGTTTAGCTCCCCTATTAAAATATTCATTACATGGGACACTACTGTTCCTGTATTATAAATTTAAACCACATTGTAATGAAATCCTATTTATTACGTAAGCGTAGTAGATCAGTTACACAGTACAGTTGAATGATGTCAGATCTCCTTTAAATGAAGGCAAAATGTATATACAGTACTTGAGTAGATGTTCTCCAAATTTCTACTGCAGAATTTTATTTTACAAACATTTAAACTGTTGTTTGCTTTTGTTTTTCTGTTTACATGCAAGTTGTTGTTATTTATTTCTTGAAAGAATGAACACCATGTCAGTTGCAGAACGTAAATATAAACATAATTTATTGTATTACAGCAATTTTCATATAATTCATATAAACATGATCATCTTATACCACTTACCCAAAGAAGACAGTTGTACTGTTTTATTCTTGCCTTAATTTTAAATCCACATTGAGTTAGTGGCAGTAAATTTAACTCCATATAACTGTCAAGTAAGTTTACCATATCCTTCAACCTGGTGGCCATTAGTTTATTGATCCTTTTTGTTTATGTATTTAGGAAGGAAGTAGTCAACCAATTATAATAAAGTTATCTTACTTAGTTTAGTATCCCACCTACAATGTTGTCATGTTATATATTCTGAAATTAGTGACTCCAATTATTAATATTTTTGATTATTCCAACTATCCAAGTCTCATGTGAGAATTATTGATTACTTGAATGTAAACAATTAATGAACCTGACAAGTTCCACTAATCACTCTGCTCTAGTGTATTGTTTTGCACATGACATAGAAAAGTTATTATTAATAATTAGAGCCAGTTATCAATAACCATTTTATTTGAGTTATTGGAATATAAGATACACACGTCAAAGATTTAAGTATTATCAGTAGTTAGGTATAACTTTGTTGAATTCCTCTATTATTATTTTAATGTGTCACAAAGCAAGTAAATCCTGCAAGATTATCAGTCTGCCTACAGGTGGTGGCCCATACTTGGTCTTTTACAGTACATGTATGAATTATTGTGTATGCATACAATGTAGATATTTTTTGTTTCTCACCGTGTACAGCGCCTCTGGTGGTGAGAACCTGTTTTTGCAAATATTTAATTTTCTCTTTATTGTTCTCTATGTCAACCAAGTTTTATATGATACAGCCCATGTAATATTGAGTTAGTTAAAATTAAAATTTCATGTATTATGATACTTAAAAGCATTCTAAGTAAACTCTATGGCTTTTGAAGTTGTTTCTTATACTGACTTATCCTTGTAACTCAGCTAATCTCCATCATTACAAGATCAGCATTTTAAGAAGCTGTGCTTCCAATATGACATCTTAACTCTACTCACAAAATAGCTTTTCTCAACCAGCACTGCGCACTATTAGTGCAAATTTTCAATGCATGCCACTAGCCTTCCATCTCCTGCTTCTGCATATTCACATGAAAATGATTATGCAGCAGCTCTCCAACAGTAGAAGTGCAACACCACTCCTATTGTAACCAGTACCCTCTTCACATCTGCATTTATCAATTACTTCACGATTGACAGTAGTACTGTTCAGGTATGCTGGTTTTTGCTCACGGATTTATCAATGCTTTCCATGTGGTGCCTTAGTTGTTTTTTTTTACTATTTATTTAATTTTTTGCATTTTGATATTATGAAAAGTTGCTTTTCTTACTGTTTTCAGGGGCCTTTTGGCTAGTGTATTGTAGATCTCACTCTGTGGTAAATGGTGCCTGACCAGGTTTACTTTTTTTTGAAAATCTGCACTGTCTGTCCTATGACCATGCTCAATGTCAATTACATTGTAACCATTCCAGATGCTGCCAGGTGTTGGTTGTGTGTGTCTGTTTCATTGTTATCTATGATTTTACATTGCAGGTTTGATTTATGCACACTGTATAGATTGGGTGTTCCATAGGACTGCCAGTAGTTCTCTCTAGTGGTTTTTTGCTTCGTAAATGTGTTTGTCTCGGACTGTACACTCATGGACTAACATGAGTAAAGCAGACAGAGATTGTTGACCATCTCTGATGCTCTGTAGCATTGAGACTCTTCTTATTTTGGACCTGATGTACAATTCCAGATGCCACCAAGTTTTGCTTGATTGACTCCGTTGGTGGGGTATCTTTGCTTTTCAAAATAGAGTATTGTGGTCACCAGTTGCACTGTCTCCAATGGTGCAGTCCTTCAGAATCTCCAATGCATTTTTCCCCCTTTCTTTAGTGGAGTATGGGAGTCCTTACCACTTATCAGTTTCTAGCCACTGGGGTGGTGGACCATGGAGGCCTGTCCTCTTGAGGGAAGAATCATATCATTCAGTTGAGAGTAAGATGATGGCATTTTGCAGGTGTCACTGGCATATCACACTTCCTACCACAGACCTGATGTACAATTCCAGATGCTCTGCTATGTCACGAATATATATATATATATATATATATATATATATATATTAT